CTGGCCTGGGCATGGTGGCTCACACCTGTAATCCCAGAACTTTGGGAGGCCGAGGTCAGTGCATCATTTGAGGTCAGGAGTTCGAGGCCAGCCTGACCAACATAGTGAAACCCCGCCTCTACTAAAAATACAAAAAAATTAGCCAGGCGTGTTGGTGTGTGTAATCCCAGCTACTTGGGAGGCTGAGGCAGGAGAATCGCTTGAACCTGGGAGGCAGAGGTTGCAGCAAGCCAAGATTGCATTACTGCACTCCAGCCTGGGTGACAAAGTGAGACTCTGTCTCGGAAAAAAAAAAGTAAACCCGATGCAGGGCAAGCTCTTGGCTTCTACCAGGGAGGAATTCAAGAGGGAGCCGGTGGTGGAAGAAAATAGCTTTCCTGAGGCGGTGGCAGACTTACAGCTCTGGGACCACAGGCTGTTCAACAAGCAGCGTGCTGAGTGGGAACAGCAGCTCAGCGCAGGGCTGCAGTCATACTTATATCCACGTTTAATGAGATGCTAATTAAGAGAGCAGGTTATTCAGAATTAGCTAGAGAATGAGCTAGTAACTTCCGGGTGTTGCCATGGCAATGGTAAACGGTCATGGCGCTGGTGGGCATGTCTCCCGGAGAGGTGCTTTCAGTGCCTCTTCCTGGCTTTGGCCAGTCTTCAATCTGGTCCAGAGTCCTGTCCAATCTGGTCCTGTCTTCCTCCTACCTTAATCATCCTATACCTCCTCTACGACCAAGAAATTCCAGTCTTAGGTATTTACCCCAAGAGAAATGAAAACATATATCCACAAAAAGACTCATGCAAGATACTCACCTAGCTTTATTCATGATAACCCCAAACTGAAAATATCTCAGCTATCCATCAACCTGAGAACGGATGAGCAAGCTGGCACATCCATATGATGGAATACTAGACAGCAATTAAAACAGACAAATGACTTGCCAGGCACAGTGGCTCATGCCTTGTCATCCCAGCACTCGGGGAGGCTGAGGCGGGCGGATTACCTGAGCTCAGGAGTTCAAGACCAGCCTGGCCAACATGGCAAAACCCTGTCTCTACTAAAAATACAAAAAGTAGCTGCTCATGGTGGCACGTGCCTGTAATCCCAGCTGCTCTGGAGGCTGAGGCAGGAGAATCGCTTGAACCTGGGAAGCGGAGGTTGCAGTGAGCCAAGATCGTGCCACTGCACTCCAGCCTGGGAGACAGAAGAAGACTCCGTCTCAAAAATACAAAAATTAGCCGGGCGTGGTGGCGGGCGCCTGTAATCCCAGCTACTTGGGAGGCTGAGGCAGGAGAATCGCTTGAACCCAGGAGGTGGAGGTTGCAGTGAGCTGAAACTGTGCCATTGCACTCCAGCCTGGGCAACAAGAGCAAAATGTCGTCTCAAAATAAATAAATAAATAAATAAATACAAATAAAGAGACAAATGACTGATTCATATAACAACATGGATGAATATCAAAAGCTTTATGTGGAGTGAAAGAAACAGAAAAGATAATCTACTACAGGATTCTATTTATAAAAAGCTCTAGAACAGACAAAACTAATCTATGGTGATAAAAATCAGAACATTAGTTGCCTGGGGGTGGGAGGAGGTGCGAGTTGGCTGGGGAGAGTGTCAGGTAACTTTCTAGGATATGGAAATGTTCTATCTTTTTCTAGTTGGGTGTATACATTTGTCAAAACTCAATGAACGGTATGCTTAGGAATTGTACATTTAACTGTCTGTAAATTTTACCTTAAAAAAAGGAACCCTAAACAAATATTAAAGTTGAGTTAATGATGTGTACAATGAAGTGTTTATGGCTGAAGTCTACTGACGTCTGTAGATTATTCTCATGAATAGATAAACTGCAGTTTCTCAACTCCAGTACTATTGACATTTGGGGCCAGAGAATTATTTGTTGTGGGAGGCTGTCCTGTGCATTGTAGGATGTGGTTGACGTCCTGGCCTCTACCCACTAAATGCCAACAGCACTCCCACACACACAGGTTGACAATAGTAAATGTTTTCAGACATTGCCAATGTCCCTGGGGGGACAAATTTGTCCTTGGTTTAGAATTGCTGAAATAGAGAGAAGGATGAATGGATACATATTTTATCCAATGCAGCTAATACAGCATATATATACACACACACACATATATACACACACACACATATATATATACACACACACACACACATATATATATATATATTTTTTTTTTTTTTTTTTTAGACAGAGTCTCACTCTGTTACCCAGGCAGGAGTGCATTGGCATGATCACAGCTCATTGCATCCTTGACCTTGACCTACTGGACTCAAGCGATCCTCCTGCCTCATTTTTTGATTTTTTATAGACAGGAGATCTCACTATGTTGCCAGGCTGGTCTTGAACTCCTGGCCTCAAGTGATTCTCCCTCCTCGGCCTCCCGAAGTGCTGGGATTACAGGCATGAGCCATTGTACCCAGCCTAATACAGCGGAATATTAAGAGCTGTAGAATCTAGCCAGTGACTACTTGGAGGTTCATTGTACACTTTTTCCTCCCAAATTTTCTGTATCCTTGAAATGTTCCGTAAGTATTAGGGAAAAATGCATATACCCTAAGATCCAGCAGTACCACTTACTAGTGACCACCCTAGGGAAAAATAATTGGCCTGCGTTCACAAAGAGGTATGTATAAAAAGATGCTTTAAAAAAAAATTCCCTTATCTACAATAGCAAAACACTGAAACAATGTAAATGCGCAGCAACCCATCAACTGTGGAATGTTTTTTTTTTTTCTTTTGAGACAGAGTCTTGCTCTGACGCCCAGGCTGGAGTGCAGTGGTGCGATCTCAGCTCACTACAAGCTCCGCCTCCTGGGTTCACTCCATTCTCCTGCCTCAGCCTCCCGAGTAGCTGGGACTACAAGCGCCCGCCACCACACCTGGCTAATTTTTTATATTTTTAGTGGAGACGGGGTTTCGCCGTGTTAGTCAGGATGGTCTTGATCTCCTGACCTCGTGATCTGCCCACCTCAGCCTCCCAAAGTGCTGGGATTACAGGCATGAGCCACCGCACCCAGCCCAATTGTGGAATGTTTAAAATGAACTATGGGCTGGGCATGGTGGCTGATGCCTATAATCCCAGCAGTTTGGGAGGTGGAGGCAAGAGGATTGCTTGAGGCCAGGAGTTTGAGACCAGCCTGAGCAAACAGAGAGACCCCATCTCTTCGAAAAATTTTTTAAAAATTAGCTGGGCGTGGTGGTGCAGGCCTGTAGTCCCAGCTACTCAGGAGGCTGAGGCAGGAGGATGGCTTGAGTCCAGAAGTTCAAGGTTGCAGTGAGCTCTGTTGGCACAATTGCCCTCCAGCTTGAGTGACAGAGTGAGATTCTGTCACACACAAACACACACACACACACACACACACAAAAGAAAGAAAGAAAAGAAAAGAAAAAAGATCCTTAATTACAGTACTGCCAAGTTCCTTTTGCCATGTAAAGTAGCATATTCACAGACTTCAAGGATTAGGATGCAGACATCTTTGGGGGGCCACTATTCATCCTACGACAGTGATTGTACCATTTTACATTCCCACTATCAGTATAAAAGAATTCTAGTTGCTCCACATCCTCATCAACAGTTGTTGTCAATCTTGTTTATTTTAGTCATTCTGGTACATTTCATTATGATAAATAATATACAGTAATTTTACACATTTAAAAACACTGGGCTGGGTGCAGTGGCTCACGCCTGTAATCCCAGCACTTTGGGAGGCCAAGGTGGGAGGATCACTTGAGCCCAGGAGTTTTAGACCAGCCTGGGCAACATAGCAAGACATCATCTCTATATTTAAATAACAACAATAAAATAAAAACATCATTCTATATTCATTATTGCCACACCAAAGAATTATACAGGCTAAATATCCTTTGACTAGGGAATGTATAGACAAACTGTGATATATTTGTACAATGGAATACTACTCAGCAATGAAAAAGCATACACTCCTGACACGTACCACAACATGGGTGAATCTCACATGCATCATGCTAAATGGAAGATGCCGGACTCAGAGGCTATACACTCTGTGATTCTATTTATATAACATCCTGCAAAAGGCAAACCACAGGGGCTGAAAACAGAGCAGTGATTGTCAGGAGCAAGAGAGGAGCTGACTACAAAGAGGCACAAGGGAATTTTCAAGGGTGACAGATCTGTTCTGTGTCTTAATTTTGGTGGTGGTTACATGGGTGTAAGCATTTGTCAAAAAGCATAGCACTGAGGCTGGGCACAGTGACTCAAGCCTGTAATCCCACCACTTTGGGGGACCAAGGTGGGAGGATCTCTTGAGTCCAGGAGTTCGAGACCAGCCTGGGCAATATAGTGAGACCCCCCCCATCTCTATACAAATTTTAAAAAATTTATCTGGATGTGGTGGTGCAAGGCTGTGGTTGTAGTTACTCGGGAGTCTGAGGCAGAAGGATTCTTTGAGCCCAGGAGATTGAGGCTGCAGTGAACTGTGATTGAACCACTGTACTCCAGCCTAGGTGACAGAGTGAGACTCCGTCTCAAAAAAAAAAAAAAAAATTGTGAAAATATACTCAAAAATTATAAATTCGTACATGTATTTAATAAGCCTGATTTAAAAAGATAATTCCGGGGGAAGGGTCTGTAAGATTTATTGGATGCCAAGGGACCCACGGCACGTGCGCAAAGACTAAGATTCCTGAGGGTGTTGACTGTGCACACCTTGTCATCTGCCACGCTGGGGATGAAGGAAGGGGAGGAAGGACATTGCAAGGAAAGGACCCTCCCGGGGCTCAGGTTCAGGACAGGGGTGGCTCCTGGGCCAGGAGCCCGGAGTGCAGGGAGCTTGCAGAGGAGTGGTAGGGAGGAGGAAGGGGGTGGGTTGAAACCAGATGAGGACTCGGTTTCTACCTTTGTCACCGAGCTATCATCATCTACACCCCTCCATATATTCGTTAATCATACACCTGCTTTATCTGCCCTCCCAGCCTGCATTCCATTCAGGCAGACAGATGTCCCTGAAGGCCCGAGGGACACCAGCCGCTATGCCAGTCTCCAAGGAACCTGAGGGAAACCAACGCTGGTCCCGGTCTTTGAGGACTCCCCAGCCCAGTGAGGGAGACCGACAGGTAAGCAGGCAGTGTCCACGCCTGGGGAAGAGGCTGTAAGGGAGATGCCGCAGGCACTGGCAGGGATCCCTACGGAACAATCAGGGAAGACATCCTGAAGAAGGGGGCATTGGGGTGAGGCCTCTCCCCATGTCATGAGGCCAAGCCCAATAATAATAATGATGCTGAAAGTAATGGCCACCGGCCGGGTGCAGCGGCTCACGCCTGTAATCCCAGCTCTTTGGTTTTGTTGTTTGTTTGTTTTGAGACTGAGTCTTGCTCTATCGGCCAGGCTGGAGGGCAGTGGCAACCTCAGGTTCATGTGATTCTCCTGCCTCAGCCTCCCGAGTAGCTGGGATTACAGGCACCCGCCAGCTCTTTGGGAGGCTGAGGCGGGAGGATCGCCTGAGGTGGGGAGTTCAAGACCAGAGTGGCTAACATGGTGGAACCTCATCTCTACCAACAAATACAAAAATTAGCTGGGCATGGTGGCGCATGCCTGTAGTCGCAGCTGCTCGGGAGGCTGAGACAGGAGAATCACTTGAACCGGGGAGGCAGAGGTTGCAGTGAGGAGAGAGCACACCACTGCACTCCAGCTTGGTCGACAGAGCAAGGCTCTGTCTCAAAAATAATAATAATAATAGTAATAATAATAGCAGCCACCAACATTTATTGAGGACTTGCAATGGGCCAAAATCACTACGCTAAGCACAGGACGTGAACTAATTAATTTAACCCTTCAACAGCTGTAAATGGTAGATACTTTTCCTGTCCTGCCTTACTGCCTTCTCCTCCCTCTCTCCCTCCCTCCCTCCCTCCCTCCCTCCCTTCCTTCCTTCCTTCCTTCCTTCCTTCCTTCCTTCCTTCACTCCTTCGAGACAGCATCTTGCTCCGTTGCCCAGGCTGGAGTGTTCAGTGGTGCAATTATAGCTCACTGCAGCCTCAACCTCCTGGGCTCAAGTGATCTGCCCACCTCAACCTCCCAAAGTGCTGGGGTTACAGGCGTGAGCCACTGCACCCGGCCAGCAGATACTTTGATCACCATCCCCCTTCTTACAGATCAGGAACATTGAGGCACACACTTGTTTCCTTCCCTCAAAATGTTCCTGCTGTGGCTGGGGAGATGGTCATGGACACAGTGTTAGTCTGGTGAAGCTGTGCATTGATGGTAGCAGCAGAAGACGTTGAAAGGAAGCGAGAGGAGAGAGGGACTGATTCTAGCTGGGGAAGGAATTGAGGGTTGGGGACGCCATTTGTAGAAGGCTTCTGAGAAGCGATTGTCCTCCAGGACAGATCCTTTTATAGGGCATGGACTTTGGTGCATAGAATTCCGTCATATTTTCTGTTCCTGTTTCTCTATCATTTGTCCATATCCCGATTTTGCTTTCTTTCTTATTTTTCCCTTTAATACTCCAGACTCCTGTTTCCTCCTCTGGTGCCCCATAAACAAACCCTAACACCTCTAACATTCACGCAATCTTGGGTAGGTAGAAATGCTTACAGACCAGACGGCATTGCTTTGTGTAATTATATCTTCTAAATTGACACAAAGGATAAATGCTATCTTTTAAATTGTGCTATAGACTGTTTTGTTTCTTACTTTTCAATTCAACATTAATTTTTTTGTTTCGTTGTTTTTGTTTTTTAAAACAGAGCTGGTGCCTTAGCCTCCCAAGTAGCTGGAATCACAGATACACACCATCAAGCCCAGCTATTTCTTATATTTTTTAGTGGAGACGGGATTTCGCCATGTTGCCCAGGGTGGTCTCAAACTCCTGGCCTCAAGCGATCTGCCCACCTCGGCTTCCCAAAGTACTGGGATTAAAGGCCTGAGCCACCGCGCCCGGACCAGTATTATGTTTTTATGATCTCTCCATGTTACCAAGTGAAACTGATTTATTGCTTCTAGGACACCATGGAGGAATCCACTCCCTTTTGCTTACCAGCTCCCCACGAAACAGACCCCATGGTGGTCTCCACCTCCCCATTCCCACCCATAATGCTGCCGTGGGCATCCTGGGATATGTCCTTGTATGTTACCTGTGTATGCTTCTCTATGGTACCTACTTGGAAATGGGATTGCTGGATCCTGGGAGAAATGCACAGTGAATGTCACAAAATTCTACCCCATTATCTAAGGTGGGTCTTAAAGCTCTAGCAGCATGTCACCAGGCAGAGAAGGGTGGAGAATGGACCAGCCAGTTCAAAGGACTGAGAGTCCACAGCATGTCCAGGGTTCAGTGAATTATAGGTGACCCACCTGAGGGGTGGAACCTTTCAGGGAACAGCCATGTAATAAATACTCGACTGCACTGGTTTCTTTTTCGTGTTTTTTTTTTTCCTAAAAAGGAAAATAGTCTTGTTGTGGGCGGCAGCTTGGCAACGTCTATGCAAGTCTTAACTGTACATACTCTTTGACCCAGCAATATCACTACTCGAGCATGAGGAAGTAGGAAGAAGGAGGCTCAGTGTGTTGTGGCTTGTAAAGGTGGAACGTGGAAAACCACCAACAGCCCTACCAATGGGTGAGGAGTCAAAGGAACCACAGCTAGGCTGCGGCCATTGAATACAGTGCGGTGTAGACAAGATAAAGGTGAATTAAAACATAGGAGCACAGGCTGGGCACGGTGGCTCACGTCTGTAATCTCAGCACTCTGGGAGGCTGAGGCAGGCGGATCATGAGGTCAGGAGATCAAGACCATCCTGGCCAACATGGTGAAACCCTGTCTCTACTAAAAATACAAAAATTAGCTGGGTGTGGTAGTGGGCGCCTATAATCCTACCTACTGGGGAGGCTGAGGCATGAGAATCGCATGAACCCAGGAGGTAGAGGTTGCAGTAAGCTGAAATTGCGCCACTGCACTCCAGCCCGGGCGACAGAGTGAGACTTCGTCTCAAAAAGGAAAAAAAAAAAAAAAAGGCAAGTCAAATGTCCCTATATTGAGTATCATCCTATATCCCTAAACTCAAGAAATGATAATATTTCTCAGTTCTGCATCTATATATGTAAAACAGGAGTTGGCAAACTTTTTCTGTCAAGGCTCAGATGGTAAATATTTTCAGCTTTGAACATATGGTCTCTGTCACAACTGCTTAACTGTGCCCTTATAGCATGAAAGCAGCCACAGCCGCAGACAATACTAAACCAACAAGCATGGCTGTGTTCCAATAAAAGTTTATAAACCCAGGCAGTGGGCCAGTGTGGCCTGTGGGCTGTCATTTGCTGACCCCAATGTAAATAAATGGTAAATGTTAGATCCGGCTCAGTGGCTCATGCCTGTAATCCCAGCACCTTGGGGAGCCAAGGCAGGAGGATCACTTGAACCCAGGAGTTCGAGACCAGCCTGGGCAACAAAGTGACACCTCATCTTTACAAAACAATAAAAAAATTAACCAGCCATGGTGGTGAGTGCCTGTGGTCTCAGCTGCTCTAGAGGCTGAGGTGGGCAGACAGCTTAAGCCTGGGGTGGTAAGTTTAGGCTGCAGTGAGCTGTGATTGCGCCACTGCACTCCAGGCTGAGTGACAGAGTGAGACCCTGTCTGAAAAAATATATATATTTTTCAAAGAAATTACACCAAAATGTTATCAGGGGTACATCTGGAAGGCAGAGTGAAAAGGAAGGGCCTGGTCAAGGGAAATATTACCCTCGTGTTTACATTTTTTCTATTTTGTGGAATTAAAATTGCTTTACATTAAAAAGAATAGCTTTGGTGACCTTCTTCTCCTTTCTGATCAGTGTCTTAGAAATGCCAGCAGCAGCAGGGCCTAGTGGCTTACACCTTTTGTCTCAGCACTTTGGGAGGCCAAGAAGGGAGGATCAGTGGAGGCCAGGAGTTTGAGACCAGCCTGGGCAACGTAATGAGACCCTGTCTCTATTTATTTTACTATTACTATTTTTTACTTTTTGAGACAGAGTCTTGCTCTGTCACCCAGGCTGGAGTGCAGTGGCACGATCTTGATTCATTGCAACCTCCACCTCCCAGGTGCAAGCGATTCTCCTGCCTCAGCCTCCCAAATAGTTGGGATTACAGGTGCCTGCCACCACGCCCAGCTAACTTTCGTATTTTTATTGGAGATGGGGGTTTCACCATGTTGGCCAGGCTGGTCTTGAACTCCTGACCTCAGGTGATCAGCCCACCGTGGCCTCCCAAAGTGCTGGGATTATAGGCATGAGCCACAGCACCTGGGCCCCTCTCTATTTAAAAAAAAGAGAAAGAAAATGCCGGCAGCATGTGAAAGCAATGAGGAAGCAAAGTTCTCCAGCACCCTACCAGCTACAGCAGAATTTCTCAGAGAGTTTCTTTTACTCACTTAACAGGTGAGTGAGAAAAAATAAAAGGTTTTATTCACTTATCCAGCACTTACCATGTACAAGGAACTGTCCTAGGTGCTAGGGACAGAACAGTAAATGAAACTGAGTCCCTCCCCTCTATAGGGTGGATATTCTGCAGTCAAAGAGAGACAGACAATAAATAACAAACACAACAAATAAATAAATGGTGTCACAGGTGAGAAGGTCAAAGGTTGCTATGGAAAGACAGAAACAAGCGGCAAGTAAAAGGGGGGGCGGTGCCTGGGCGCCAGGTGAGGTATTAAACAAATGACCAGAGAAGGCTTCAATGCCAACGTGACATTTAAGCAGCGGCCTGAATGAATGAGATGAGAACTAGGAGGACGTCTGGGAGGAAGAGCATTCCAGGCAGAAGGAGCAGCCGTGCAAAGGCCTTGAGGTGGGAACGTGTCGTTGCATTTGAGGAACAGCAAGGGAGAAAGTGTGGCTGTAGTGGCAGGAGCCAGGGGGAGAGGGGGAGAGGTGAAGAGAAATAAGGGGCAAAGTGGGTCACTGGTGAGGACTTTTGTTTTACTCGGGGCCATGTCGAGGTGGGGGCGGTGTCTGAGCAGAGGAGGGACAGGAGCTGACTTGAGGTCTAAGAGGGTCCCTCTGACTGCCCTGTGGGAGCAGACGCAGTGGGAAGTGGGGAGACCAGAGAGGAGGTGGTGGCGGTGGTCTAGGCAGATG